GCACCTCAGGGCCGCCATGAGGGGAGAGGCGGGGAAGCCAGCACTGCCCACAAGGCCACCGAATCCCAGGCCTCAGGGGGAGCAGGCAGGACCAGCTTCCTCTGTGCCCACCGGGTCCCAGAGCCTCAGTGCGGGGGCCCGCTGCCCAGGCTGTGGGGTCCCTGGGGCAGGGAAGGATGATGGCGAAGATTCTGGGATATGGGTGTGGGGTATGCCCCTTAGCCATCAGCTGTAAGCCCAGGAAACGGACGCAGGCCTTCCTAAGGGGCACGCGTGTCGGGATGCGCCAACTCGGTCCCACACACTGCATCTCTGTGTGCATTGGGGGCCCGAGACTGCTCCCCGAGGCGCAGCCTTCAGCTCTGCTGGGTCTGAACGCGGGCGTCCGGCCGCCTCTGGTCTGTGCCCGGGGCTGGCGCTGCCTCGGCCACCGCTCTGTGCCACGCTCACTGCCCAGGGTGTCCCGCGTCCTGCTCACCATGACACCCAAGCCCTCGTGCCTCAGTCTCCCCAACTGTATAGCGTGCACGAACCCTCAGCAGAGTCCAGAGCAAACGGGAACCACAGGGAGCACACTGGAAAAGGACCCGCGGAGACAGCCGAGTGACCTGCACCCGGGGGGCAGTCCTGGTGGGAGGGCCGCCTCCAGGGGCCCCGAGGCAGGAGGGCTCCGGACCAGGTGGGCCAGTTGAGAATGCCTGGTTAAATTCTCTGCCGGTAGGCTCATTTCATTTCATTGTTTTTTTGTTAATCCTCACCGAGGGCATTTTTTTCCATTGATTTTTAAAGAAATATATATATTTTATTGATTTTTTACAGAGAAGAAGAGAGAGAGATAGAGAGTTAGAAACATCAATGAGAGTCACTGATCAGCTGCGGCCTACTGGGGATGTGCCCGCAACCAAGGTACATGCCCTTGACTGGAATCGAACCTGGGACCTTTCAGTCCACAGGCAGACGCTCTATCCACTGAGCCAAACCGGTCCCGGCTCTATTGATTTTTAAAGAGAGTAGAAAGAACGTGGAGAGACAGAGAGGGAGAAACATTGATGTGAGAGAGACACACAGATTGGTTGCCTCCCGCATTCGCCCTGACCAGGCCCAGGGGCTGAGCCTGCAACCAGAGTACGTGCTCTTGACCAGCATGGACACTCTGACCACTGACCCACACCGGCCAGGCCATAGGACATGTTTCAGGACGTGGCGCGGGCCCGGGGCCAGACCTCCTCAGCGTGCACTGCTGAAGAAGAGGGTGGGCGAGCCGTGTGCGTGGCCCCTCGGGCAGCCAGGGTGTTCTCCCAGGCGCCCATGCCGCCCAGAGCAAGTGGCCCCCGACGGTCCCGGAGTCGCCGGCCGCGCCAGGCGGCACGCTCCCGGGAGGGGTCCCCTTGCTGCCGTGACGCACCCTTCCTCCCGCTCCGGGAGTAGCTGCTGTGCCGCCCCAGAGGCAGCGCCGGCTCCCCACGCAGGCTCTACTAGCGAAGCTCAACACCCCGAGACGTCCGACTCCCCAAGGGGACGCTTCCTGACTGCTGGCTCCGCGCCCCGAAATGGGATGGGAACCCCACAGCCCCCCGGAGACTCCGGCGATGGCAGCCCGGCCCCCTGTGCGCTCACCGTGACTAAGAGCATAAAGATGACAAGACGGGGAGGACCAAGACGCAGCCCCAGGAAGGCCCAGAGCGCCGCGGGGGGAGGGGGGGGGCAGCGGCCCCGCCCTCATCTCCTCCCCACTCGCTTCTTACCCTCAGGCTCTGGCTCTGGCTCCCCGGAGCGGTCCCGGGTGTGCCGAGCAGCAGGAGGCTCTGTGGTAGGTAATCACCGGACAAAGCCCGTTGCCCTGCCTGGGGCTCCTCCCTCTCTCCCAGTGTCTCCATGGCGCCAGCCCGGCCGCCCAGGGCGCCCCCTGGGGGTCTGCATGTCAGACCAGCCCTCCCCTCCCCGCAGAGGAGACCGGACGCTCCATTCCTCACGGACACGGTGCGCAGGGACCACAGCCTCCCGTGTCGCACCCCAGGGCTGCCTCCCCCTTCCCCGAGGGCCAGATGTGGGGGGACCAGTGTCCTGGGCTGCCCTGGAAGGGAGCCAGAGCCCCAGGTGGGCCGGGCAGGTGGGGAAACCAAGGCCAGGCCTTGCGGGGCGTCACCGGAGTGGCACCAGGACCATTCCGGGGAGTGAGCTCCTAACGAACACAGCCCACCCTGCATGGGGACCTGAAGTTGGGCACCCGGGAGGGTCCTCAGGGCCGAGAGGCCGAGAGGAGGGCAGACAACACGCGCCTCTAATGGTTGCAGAGCCACTGTGTCTTGGGGGTTACGGCGCCCCATCTCAGCACACTGGGCGCTGCTTCGGGGGGTGGAGTTACTGGCGGGGCTGGTCTTCTCACTCCCGGAGCCAGTCCCAGGGGGCCGGCTGGCGGCCCTCACGGGGCGCAAACCCCGTCTGGTCTCCTGCGCTGCTAGCGAACGTGCTGTTGAGACCCAGCGCGCAGCCTCAGACCTGCCGCCCTCCCCGGGAGCCTGCGGGGAGCGAGCCTGGCTCGGGAGGGGCCCTCCTCAGCCGCGCTCCGCGTCCAGGACACCGGGGAGCCGCGGGCTCTCAGAGCCGGTCTGGGGACAGACCCACTGCCTCACTTCCTCTGTGTCAGCCTGGGACCTCAGAGCCGTGTGCGCCTGTGCAGGTGCACCCTGGGAAGAGCCACGAGGGGCTGTGTTCTGGAACCTTCCACCCCGCTGAGACGCAGGGCACCCTGCGACGGCTGTGACGGAAACTGGAGGCTCCGAAGCCTGGCCCGATGGGCAACTGTCTTCCCAACAACTGCCCTCACGGGACGGACGGCTCCCAGCACCACCCACTGCGGACGCCTCCACCAGCTCTGGAGAGACCGGGGGCCTTCACCCCACCATGAGCTCTGGTCCGACCCCGTGCAGACGGCACCCTGCCTGGCACCCCCTGGAGGCCTGTAGCTGCATCATCAGCACTCAGGCCACCGCCCTGTCTCCGGGGGTGAGCTGACCTAAGAGCGCAGCCCGAGACTCCTCCCCCATTCTACACACCGCCCCCCCCAGCAGCCCGCAGGGGGTGGGGCCCATCCTGGCTCCTCCCCCATTCTACACACCGCCCCCCCCCCCCCCGCAGCCCGCAGGGGGTGGGGCACGTCCTGGCTCCTCCCCCATTCTACACACCGCCCCCCCAGGCAGCCCGCAGGGGGTGGGGCCCGTCCTGGCTCCTCCCCCATTCTACACCCCCCCCAGGCAGCCCGCAGGGGGTGGGGCACGTCCTGGCTCCTCCCCCATTCTACACACCGCCCCCCCAGGCAGCCCGCAGGGGGTGGGGCACGTCCTGGCTCCTCCGAGCAGCTGCCCCTGGGAGGGGGTTAGACGAGCAGGGCCTCAGCCCCACCTGAAGTCCCCTGGGGACCCCAGCCATCACGCACATCTGGGAGGTGCAGGAAACCCACCTGTGAGGTGCCCCTGACTGTCTGCACCCCAAATGACGATGGGGAATTCGGGGAGCCGGCCTCGGCCCGGTGTGGGGGCCCCTCGCCCGCTCTTGCTGCCCCTGGGCGGCGAGCAGGACGCCCAGCTGTCACAGCTGGCCCCGGGGACGGTGCGGACCGGCCTCTGCAGTCGCGGACACGCCTGGCAGTTTTGCTGCGTGAGTCCTGGTGCCGGGCCCACCCGACCGCCCGGAGCCCAGGGGCTGGGCCGGGCCCAGCGCTGGGTGCCCTCTGTCCAAGCGCCTCCTGAGCCACCTCCCCGGCCCTTCTCTCTGGGGTCCGGGGAGAGCCCCTGGGGCGCCAAAGACAAGAACCCGCCATGCCAAGGCCCAGCCTCTCCTGAGCCTATCACTGTCTCCAGGGGACACACTCTGGTTCCTCCCTCCCACCCACCGGGGAGGGCAGGAGGGGGCGTTCCGGGACCCCAGGCCTGCCTGACCCTGACCGCGGGCTCAGGCGGCACCCCGCTCCCAGCCCCAGCACTGGGTGCAGACCAGGTCCTACGGGAGCGTTCCCCCTGGGCCAGGCAGGCCGGGCCAGGCAGCCCGCAGCTCTCCGGCCTCTCCAAGTCGCCCCGGGCCCCTGCAGACCCCGCAGAGGGCGCGGGACTAGCCATAAAGGGGGCTGTGTCGCACCCACACGGCCGGGAGGGAGGTCGGCCAGGGCGCTGCGGGCCCCGGGCTCTGGCCAGCCTGGCACTGGGAAACGCAGACCCAGAGGCCGGGCCTGGGGGGGGGGGGGGGGCGGGTGGCGAGGGAAACCCTGGCCGTTCTCAGTGCGCGGGCAGGGACAGCACTAATCCGCATCGGGTGGGATGGCAGGGTCCCCGCCCCCACTGGGGCAGCCTGAGACTGTGGTGCGCACCCTCCCGGAGCATCTTGGGGGCTGGGGTTCAGAGTGGCTGGGTTCCCAGCTCTCCTCGCCGGCCCGAGCCTCCTGCGCAGCCCGCAGATGGCACAGTCCGGCTGGCCCCCTTCCCTCGGAGCTCCGGGCCTCCCCTGCAGCCCCTCAGGCGGGTGGCCTCCTCCGTAGGCCCAGCACGCAGTTCCCGCTGCAGCAGAGCTGGCGTTCGCCGCAGCCTCTCCGCCTCCGCCCACCCCGGGCTTTCCCCGCTCGGCTGGAGGGGCCCCGGCTCCCCGACCTCCCACCCCGGCTGACGCGAAGTTCCCCAAAGTGACCAGGGCGCAGAGGACGCCGCCCCCTCCCCGGCTTCCCCCGAGACTCCGCCCGCAGCCCCCTCCCGCGCCTTCCGAAAAGTTGCAAACGAAGCCTCAAACTCCGGTTCTCCCCCAGCTCCCCGCCCCCGCTCGGCGCAGCGCGAGCCCCGCCGCCCCCCACGCACAACCCCTGCGCAGGGGGCAGCTACCCGCCCGGAGCCCGCGCCGTGGCCGGGGACGCAGCGGCCCCGCGCGACAGGCGGCGGAGTGCGGTGGGCGGCGGGGCGGGCACGTGCGCGGGGCGGGGCGGGGGGCGAGGGCCGGGCGGCGGGCGGGGGGCTTACCTGTTGGAGGAAGAGGAAGGCGGGAGAGCAGGGCACGGCGTGCGGGAGCATGCTGCCGGCGCTGGGCAGCAGGAGGCAGCCGGAGTTGGCCATGGAGCACAGCATGGGGCGGCAGGGGGGCGCCCCGCGGGCGGCCGAGGCGGCTCTGCGCTCGCTGCGCCGCCCGCACCCTCCGCGCGTCCCTGGGCGAGTGCGCGCGCCCTGCCTCCCGGGCGCCCTCTGGGTCTCCGTCGCCGCCGCCTCCTCCTCCTCCTCCTCCTCCTCCTCCTCCTCCTCCTCCTCCTCACCCCCTCCTCCCCCTCGTGGCGCTCCTGGACCGGGGAGCAGGAGGAGAGCCCTGCGCCCCGGCTCCTCCGTGCTCCCGGCCGGCGCGGGTGCCGGGGAGCGCCCGCGAGAATATGGCCAGAGCGGTCTGTGCGCGAGACGAGAGGACGGCGGGGCGGAGGGGGGTGGAGGATAGGGGGGCGCCACCTTAGAGCTCCCGGCCTGTCTGTGCGCGCGCGTGCGGGCGGGGGGGTCCCCGGACTCCGACGTCAGACAGCCCCGCGGAGGGCAGGGAACCCGGACCGGGCACAACAGCTGACCCAGCGCTTAACCCCTGGCCCGCCGGCGCAGGGGCCACCACCTCCGCCCTCCCGCAGCCCCAGCCCCCCAGCCCCGCCGCTGCTCAGGATTGGGGTCTGGAGCGGCCTCCCCTCCCCGGTCCACAAGCCACTGCAGAGGAGCCGCCGCTGCCGCTGCGTTCGGCTCGGAGAAGCCCGCTCCTAAGGGAGCTGGGGCGGGATGGCGCTGATGCAATGAGGACAGCTACGCAGAGGCCTCCCCTCCTGGCGCCCTGGGCTCGGAAACCCCAGCCGGAGCCCCGGGAACTCTCCTATCTCCTTGGCCACAGACTCCCTTCCCCGCCTGCCTGCCACAGCACGTGGTCTTGTGGATCCTCATCATGGACTAGGGGGCAAGGGGCACTAGCTACCACACGTCCTCTCCTCCCCACACCCACACGCCACCCCGCAGGAGGGCGCGGGTCCCCACCCCTGGCCCTACACCACCAGTGACAGGTGTGTGCGAGCCCACATAAACCTGCAGCTTCACCTGGACCCCCGCAAGGGCCTGCCGCGCAGCCTCACTCGCCAGATGCCCACCGGCCAAGCTCTGGCAGGACCAGCCGCAGGTGAGCATGGCTGAGAGGCAGCGGCAGCAGAACATGCCCCCCCACCCACACACACACACATACATTCTCCCTGGCAAGGGGCGTCTCAGGGGCCCAGCAGCAGCTCTGGACTCGCCCATCTACCTAAGGGCACCTGGGACCCCCCTCTTCTCACTTCGGAGAACAAGCCCCGCTCTGGAGGGGGCAGGCCTGGGACCCCCTGGCAAGGGGCAGCCCCGGCGGGGAGGCGTGCTGTGGCCCTCACTGCCGCCTGCAGACAGGGCCCCTCAGGCTGGAGCCGGAGGAGGGCGGAGGGAGGGTGCGCTTGGCTCCCTGCGCCAAGTCTGGGCACCTCTTCTGAGCTCCTTCTGAACAAGCAGGCGGGTGTGTGCCCCTGGACACCCTCTCAGGCACCCGTGCCGCTGGAAGGAGGCAGCCCTGGCTCCCCTTTCTCCTGGAGAGCGAGGGGGTCAGGGTGTCTGGCAGGGACCGGAAGGGCCGAGATCCAGAGAGTGGCACCGGGGAGAGCGGGCCCCCCTGGCCTGGTCGCTGCACCTGCCTGACCTTTTCTGGAATCCAGGCAGGGATGCCCCAGGGGTGGCTCGGGCACACAGTGGGGGGTGGGCACCTTGGCTGTGGACTGGCCAGGGGGCCCCTGCTTTCCTGCCGATGATGACTGACATGGTCCCTGCAGCGGCACCCCTACCGCCCAAGACGCTGGTGGGGGGCCTGGCGCCGAGGCCCAGGCGTCTGGAGCAGCAGCTCTGCCGGGCATTGCGTTTGCAAGTGGAGCCTGGCAGAGGGCTCTCCTGTGCTGTGTGCCGCCCGATCGGCCCGCTGCAGGAGCAGGGGCAGCCCTCCCCTCCAATGGCACAGCTCTGCCCTCCCCCTGCTGCTGAAGCACCCTCTGCCCTCTGCCAGCCCGTCAGGCGGCACTGCTCCGCCCTGCGGACACTGGAGTTTGGGGCGGCCATGACAGTTCACCCTCACCTGGGACTCCCGACTCACCCTGCCTGGGACCATTCCCTCATGGACTGCCCATCGCTACCCCACCTCCACGGAAAACCAGGCTTGTTCCTCCCGCTAGAGGGCTGGGGAGCGGGCCCAGCACACAGCTTCCGACCGAGACCCGGGCCCCGTGCGGGAGTGATGGCGGACTCTGTCCCGGAGGGAGACATGGTTCGGTGCGGAAACCAAGCCCTCAGCCTGCTGTGCTGAGAGCAGGAACAGCCCAGGGTTGTGGGAGCTCAGACCTGGGGCGCGGTCAGGGAGGGTCCCCTGAGGGGCCCTCGCACTCAGCCCCCAGCCCCCAGAAAGCCAGATGGGTCTCGGCACCTGGTCAGCCTCGGGCCTCAGCCCAGCCACCTGCCTCCGTCAGCCGCTCCTCACACCCGGCTCCGGCCCAGGACGGCCACCGGGAACCTCCCCAAAGGACCTGAGCGGCCTGCGTGTCCGGCTCACGCCTCAGGCGGCCTGGACTGCGGACGGTGATGAACGGCAGGCGAGGAGGCTGGCCCGCTGGGAGGCAACCGGGGGTCAGGGAGGAGCAGCTGGACTCTGCAGCCCATCTGGACTCCCCATTCTCCCCTTCAGAGACCAAGGGCCCGGGCAGCACAGCCCCTGAGGTGGAGATCCCAGTGTCCGCGGACTGGTGCCCCTCGACCCTCCAACATGCTCATGGGCACTCCCAGGGCACGGCCCGCCCACCCAGACTCACTGTGGGCAGCCTTGCCCTCCTCACCTGCCCTCAAGGGCCTGGCCTGGGAGGCGTGTTAGACGGGGATACAATAGTCTCCAGCCCCTCCCCCAGCCCTCTGGACACCCTCTGCCTCCTGGGCCAGGCGGGCGGCCTGAGTGGCAGGTGGGGAGCCGGGCCCGGGGGAAGGAAGGCTGCGAGCGGGAAGAGCTGTCAGTCAGCGCTCATGTTCACGACGCACGCCAGGAGCCAGGGAGAGATACCCGTGCGCCCTGACTCGGAGAAGGGCTTGCTAGGGCGGCAGGAGCTGAGTGTAATTATCTGCGCTCCTGGGCACCCTATAAATACCGCCGGCCCAGATGGTTCCCAGGCTCCGAGAGCACCCGATCTTCCTGCCCCCGCCGCACCCGCATCACCTTCCCGGAGGAGCCCCGCTGGGTGCAGGCGCTGCCCCCCACTGGCCCTCCAAGGGCAGGGCCTGGCTGTCCTCCCTCCCTGGCGAGCCGTGCAGACACCTCGGCCCTTCGGTGTGCTCCTCAGTGACACAAGAGACATCAGTGAGAGAATGTGCCAGAAAGTGCTCACAACGGCCTGGCCTTTGATTGAAAATATAATGTGGGGCTCTGGCCAGTGTGGGTCAGTGGATAGAGCATCCGCCTGCAGACTGAAGGGTCCCGGGTTCAATTCTGGTCAGGGGCATGTGCCTAGGTTGAGGGCTTGATCCCTAGTAGTGGGTGTGCAGAAGACAACCAATCCATGATTCTCATCACTGATGTTTCTCTCCCTCTCCCTCATCTCTGAAATAAAAAAAATATTTTAAAAAATAGTAATGTGGGCAGTTCTGTGGCCGAGTGGTTTGGGGGGTGTTGCTGGGACGGCACCTCAGCCCGCCCTTGGGGAACTCCACGGCTGCACACGGACCCGCCTGGGGAAGCAGGAGGCCCTGCGGTCCCTGTAGGAGAGCCGGGCGGGGGCGGGGGCCGAGTGCTCATGGGCCTGCTCTGCTTCCCGCTCCGAGTGCCAGGCTGGCATCCGCAGCGCCACCCGCAGAGAGGACAGTGTGGAGCCCGGCGGAGGCGTGCCAGGACGGGAGGGGGTGAGCTCACCGTCTCCGGTGGCAGCTGGCCGTCATCTCCGGCTTCGCAGCGCCAGGCCATCCTGCCCGGACTTCAGGCACCCGCTTGGCACAGGCCGGGACCGGGCGGGGGTGGCAGAGCTGCAGGGAGCATCCCACGGGGAAGGGCAGTGTGGGTACAGTCCCTGTGCTGTGTGAGGATGTGGGGGACTGGCCAGACACCCACATCACCAGCGAGCCCTCCCGGGAGCTCCAGCCCCCGTCCCACAGCCGAGGGAGCGGGAGCTGTCTTTGCCTCGTCCTGCGGTGTCTGATTCTCCCAGAGCGGCAGGGATGGTGGCGGGGGAGGCCCTGCAGGGAGAGAGGAAAACGGCAGGAGGGAGCCCCCTGGCTGACCAAGTCACTCCGGAGGCATCCAGCAGGGCGCCCCACACCCGCCAGGGGTCAGGCCTGTGAAGAGGGGGCACTGGGGAGCTCCCCACCCCTGAGCCCCTCTGCACCCCGGGCCACCCAGGTGCCCAGGCTGCCCGGGCAGCACCCACATCCAACCGGGCAGGAGGCTCCCTCCCTCGGTGCCAGCCCCCGGCCCCAGCCCCGAGGGCAGCAAGCGTAGCAACGGGGAAAGGAAGCTTATTTATCTGCTGAATTAGGAGGCCTTTGCCAGTCGCATTCGGTCCTCCATCTCACTTACTGGTACAACCATGTCTCAGCAAAACTAAACATTATAAATGCCGAGGCTGAACGCACAGGGCACGCTACATGCGGGAGGTACATGCTCTGGGTACACCCTCGAGGTACACACTCGTGACGCTTACGATACACACTCGGGGTACACGCTCAGGGTACACGGCAGAACCAGAGCCGCACAGGCTCATAGCTGCCAGCACCTCTCCCCTGGAGGCCCCTCTCCTTCAGGACCTGGGACCCGAGGATGGTGCTGGCAGAAGGCCTGCTCTGCCACGTGGTACTGGACCAAGTTTACTTATTTTCCTTTCTTTTTTTAAAAAATATTTTTTTTTTATTGATTTTAGAGAGGAAAAGAGAGGGAGAGAGAGAAACAACAAAGATGAGAGAGAATCATGGATCGGCTGCCTCCTGCACGCCCCCTACTGGGGATGGAGCCCACAACCTGGGCCTGTGCCCTGACCGGGAATCGAACCCTGACCTCCTGGGTCATAAGTCAACGCTCAACCACTAAGCCCCGCCGGCCAGGCTTTCCTCCTTTTCACTGAGCTCTCAGGACCTCACCCTCCTCCTCTCCTGAGGACAGGAGCTCAGCAGAGCTCAGCAGAGCCCAGGAGAGCAGGTGAGACCGGCCAGTGGGGGAGAGGCCGCGGCAGGGG